CCTCGGGGAGATGGAGCGGTATATAAATAAAGTTTTAATTTATTATTATATTTCAAAGGTTGCATCTCCTTCTTTCTCACTATCGGTTAAGATAATGAGAGTTGAAATTCAACAGCATCTGGAAGCACATATGTTTCTTTCCTCTGATGAAACATATAATTCCATGGTATATAAAGTACATAAGTATCTATGAGACAGCTACCAGTAAGTCCCTATCATATCTGCTTCCAAAAAGAACGCTCCACTCAAGAGCAGCTGAGACAACGGTAACAGAATCACATAACTATACAAGTGGAACACTGTCCTGTATAACACTGGCCAACACACATCTTGGTACCTCAAATGTTAGCCCTGTTTCTGGGTATATCTGACTTGCTAATGCCAAAAATTGTGCTTGTTTTCCCCTATCAGCACTAGCTTTTTGAGATACAGATATATGCCATATACCAGTTGTCATCTGCTTATCCACAGAAAACCAAGAGAAACCATATTTTAGAAAGTACAGCTGATGCAGTCAATCCAATACAAATTTCTGAATCACTGTCCCAAATAACTCCAGGAACAGGCCTAAAAATCAAAACAGCAAGAAATTATTTTGTTGTTATTGTTTATTTGTTCAGTTGCTTCTGAATCTTTGTGACCTCATAGACCAGCCCAGGCCAGAGCTCCCTGTCACATTTTATTGGTTGGGCAGTGTAAAACATTCAATATATTTGCCCCTCATATTTCTCCCTTCTTTCCACAGTAATAAGAATGTATGCACACCATGAATAAAAAGACCATAAAGCGAATAAAAAAGAGATGCACCTTGTACTGAGGTTCTTGCTGACTGAATCTCTCATAGCAACAGCCATGTCTCTTTCTTCTGTGTGAATATAATTAGAACCCAATAAACTTTATGAGTAATGCTGATTAATCCTTTCAGTGTACATTACCTTGACTTTGTCAACAGAACAGCAACATGCCTCAGGCCTCAACCCACATCAGTGACAGGAGAAAAAACAGGCACCCAGACATTTCCAGCCTTCCTCCATACGATCTAACAATGCCACCTCAAGCAGGAAGTCACTGGGGAAAAGGGGTGAGCCCAGGACAAGCCCCAGGGGAGCAGCCAGATCTGCATAACAGGTAGAGCAATGCAGCTTAGGTCTGCATACACATGTTATAGAGAGAAACTCCTTGTCATTAGGGTCACAGGCAGAGTCATGCCAGAAGTGCACCCTGATTTCTTAATTTATCCTACAAATGGAATGGAAAGCTGTTTTATTCTGTATCAGAAAAGGGGAAGTCATTGTGTGCATGTGGCTGAAGCCCAGGTTATTTGAAGGACCATCTCTCTCACTCTCCCCCCCCCCCCCCCCCCCCCCCCCCTGTTAGCAATCTATGATCCTCTTGAGATGGCCTTCTCTGTCTCACCACCCACTCAAGCACATTTGGTGGGAACAAAGGAGATGACCTTTTCAGTGGCTGCTCCCAGACTTTGCAACTCTCCTCCGAAGGAAAGACCAGGATGCCCCCATCCCTGCTTGCCTTTTGGAGGCTGGTCAAGACATATCTCTGCTGCCAGGCTATTGGGGGATGCTGCTGCTGGGGAGGTTGTGGGTGGGATTTTGAGGAAATGAGTGAGTTTTACATATAATTTAAGTTGTATTTATTGTAATTTAACTGTATTTTGACTTTACCTCCATTCACATTTTTTCATTTTTGTATTTGTCTTTGTCCAGCCTCTGTTTAAAAGCTTCCAAGGAGGAGACATGATGGCCATCTATAAATATGTGAGGGGAAGTCATAGGGAGGAGGAAGCGAGCTTGTTTTCTGCTGCCCTGGAGACTAGGATGAGGAACAATGGCTTCAAACTACAGGAAAGAAGATTCCACCTGAACATGAGGAAGAACTTCCTAACTATGAGAGCTGTTCAGCAGTGGAACTCTCTGACCCAGAGTGTGGTGAAGACTCCTTCTTTGGAGGTTTTTAAACAGGCTGGATGGCCACTTGTCAGGTGCTTTGAATTCGATTTTCCTTCCTCGTGGCAGGGGGTAGGACTGGATGGCCCACAAGGTCTCTTCCATCTCTATGATTCTGTGATTCCTAAGACTCTTACACTGCACTGATTAAGTGAGGATAGTTTGGCAGTGGACTCTTGGATCTATCAAGATCCCCTAAAAAGGAAGGCTTAAAAGAGAAACCCGTTTTTTTATAGGGGAAAGTCTGATGGGAACCCCAGATCCACTGCCCCAGACCCACAGAGGATTGGACTGGATGACCCATGAGGTCTCTTCCGACTCTGATTCTAAGGAAGGAGGTCCAACCACTCTCCAAGGCAGAGAGTTCCTCTGTTGAACAGCTCTTACAGTCAGGAAGCTCTTCCTAATGTTCAGGTGGAATCTCCTTTCCTGTAATTTGAACCCATTGCTCTGAGTTCCAGTCTCCAGGGCAGAAGAAAATAATGCTTGCTCCCTCTTCTTTATGATTGTTAGTTACCTTGAGTCCCTATGGGGGGGAAAGGCGGGATAGAATAACAATAGAAATAATAATAATAATATTCTTCAAGTTACTTATCAGCTTTTGGTAACCCATTAATTTCACAGGGATGTCTTAGACAAGGAAGACAGGTGGTTTTGCTAGTTCCTTCCTAAAAAAATATAGCCTACAGAGCTAGTATTCATGAACAGTCTCTAATCCAAGTACTAACCAGGACTGGCCCTGTTTAGCTTCTACCATCAAGGGCCTGGTTTCTTAAGCAAGAGCAGGAGAAGAAATCACACACCAATCATGACACAGTTCAACAGCATTAGTCAAGTCCTTTAGGTTGCATTCCTTCTACTATGTATTATATTGAAAAAACAGGGCAAACGGAAAGGAACTTGAAGCTCTGCATGATTTGCAAAGAGAGCCACTAATGCACAGAAGAGTATAAAGTTACATAATAAAAAGCTTGTTTGTTTCATCTCCTTAACTTTAGGCAGAGCTGTTGCCAGGCTGAGTGCAAATACAACATGTGCAAAGAAAGCGAAGTCTGCCACACTGTTGATGCCGCCTGTGCCTACTCATTGTCACCTCCTACCAATCAGTCTGGTGGCTACTGAGAGGAGCAAACAAAGTTAGCAGCCAAAGGATCTCAGCATCTTCATGCAGAAGACATTGTCTTAGCTGTAAAAATCAACTAAGCTGAGATCAGAGAGGGAAATATTAACCCAATGGTAAACATTTTACTTCTAACACAAGTACACACGACTACAGCCTTAGAGCCTGATGCAAATCATGCTTCCTGTTACTATGAAATATATATACACATACATATACATATACACACACACGCTGCTGACACATGCTCCGAGCCTCTGGGGATAGGGCATAGCTCTACCGAAGAGTTCAAGGAAGAGGCTACATGCCTATAAACCCAGCGCAACAAGGAACATGCATGCATTTTTGAGCCTCAGCTGACTGTGCCACATGCAAATCACCATCAGTTGCTGCAGATGTAAGGAATGCTTGCAATTAAAGTTCTGGCTGCCTCTCTGTTCCTCAGTTTCAAGCCCGCAGTAGTATGTACAACCTTCTCCACATTTTGCCCCGAAGAGTTTTGGATTTGCAAAGGAAAAGCCCACCCTGCCGCCTAAAGCAACCAGGAACAACGGGACAATCTGGTTTTACTGCATATCCCTCTGAAAACCAGCCAATATCCGAAAGGAAGGCAAGAGGAGGGAATCACTTCACAAAGCTGAAAGGGATGGGATTCTCACAGGAGCCAAAGACAGCAGGTTGAACAAGCGAAGCAACTCCAGGGAGGGCTAGCAAGGAGTAGGGGTGCATCTATACTCAGGGCCATAGCTGGGGGTGGGGGATGGGGTTAAAAGTTCAACCCTGCCCTGAAATGTGTCAGGTTAAAAAAGAAACCTGGTTTACTCATAAATTGGTAACCAGTTAAAATTAATTACTAAACCTGTTTTGGGGAGGAGGGGTTAGAACCTTTAACCCCCTCCCTGGCTATGGCCCTGTCTATAAGGTAAAGGAAAAGGTTTTTCCCTGACATTAAGTCCAGTCGTGTCCGACTCTGGGTATTGGTGTTCATCTCCAATTTTAAGCTGAAGAGCCAGCACTGTCTGTAGACACCTCCAAGGTCATGTAGCCAGCATGACTGCATAGAATACTATTACCTTCCCATCAGTGCAGTACCTATTGATCTACTCACATTTGCATGTTTTCAAACTGCTAGGTTGGCAGGAGCTGGGGCTGACATGCTGCTCCCCGATTCGAACCTGTGACCTTTCGATCAACAAGTTCAGCAGCTCAGTGCTTTAACCCTCTGCACCACCAGGGGCTCCTGGCCCTGTCTATACTGTAGGATTAATGCTGTTTTACCCCACTTCAACTCCCACGGCTCAATGCTATGGAATCATGGGAACTGTCGTTTCACAAGGTGTGTAGCCTTCTCTGCCCAAGAGTGCTGGTGGATCTCCAAAGTACAAATCCATAGCATTAGGTTGTGGCAGTTCAAGTGGCGTCAAGCTGCTTTCATTCTACAGTATAGATCAAGTGTGGGCAAACTTGGGCCCTCCAGGAGTTTTGGCCTCCCAACTCCCACTATTCCTAACAGCCTCAGGCCCCTTCCTTTCCCCCCTCAGCCGCTTAAGCGGCGAAAGGAAAGGACCTGAGGCTGTTAGGAATGGTGGGAGTTGGGAGTCCAAAACCCCTGGAGGGCCCAAGTTTGCCCATGCCTGGTCTAGAGACCCTAGCTTCGTGTTTTACCTATTCTCAGAGAGTCCAAAGCCTCTTAAGGAAAGAGAGCCTGCTTCCTTGAGAGGCAACGCTGGTAAAGGTCACCAAGGCAGCTCCCCACGGACTCTTGCCTCCTCCCAAGTCAGCCAAGACGTGCTCCCAGAAAGAGAGAGAGCTACGCGGGACTGAAACAGTCGGGGAACAGGGCAAATGGGCCATGCGATCAGGAGGAAGGGAATCCGGGGAAAGTGAAGGGCGCGGGGAGAGCCTGTCGCGCTTACCTGCCCAACTCGGCTCCCTTCCCATAAGCCGAGGCACAAACAGCCCAGCTAATCCGCTTTGCGAAGCAGGAGCAGCAGCAGCAGCAACCGCGGTCCTTCCCCTTTCGGCCTCCCCTCCGCGCTTTCTTTGCAGCACCACCAAGTCGCCGGCTGGACTTCGCCTCAGTTGCTTCCCGAGCCCAGTGCCAGGAGCGCGCGCCCTCCCCCGGCAACCTGCAGCTCCGTCGGCCCCGCCCCCTGTTCGCTAGGCTGAGACACGCCCCCTGCCCGGGCTAGGCCCCGCCCCCCGCCAGGTATGTGGGCCGAGCCGCGAGGGAGGGGGCGGGGGCAAGGCGCTGAGCGGACCAACCAGCGCGCACCTCCGCGGCCCCGTCTGCCAATCAAGCCCTTGCTCAAAGTTCAGAGGAAGAGACTTTGTTGTGCTTAGTGTTTGGGCTGGCGGGAAAGCTTGGGATGTGCTGTTCCCCTTCCAGCTGCTAACACAGAATATTATTTCGGAATATAATGGCATTTCGGGGCGCGTTTGCCATCCCAAGCCAGTTTATTTATTATTTACTAGCTAAACCCGCCCTTTACTAGCTAAACCCGCCCTAAACCCGCCAAGGGCAAGATGGATGGATGGCATCCTTGAAGTGACTGGACTGACCTTGAAGGAGCTGGGGGTGGTGACGGCCGACAGGGAGCTCTGGCGTGGGCTGGTCCATGAGGTCACGAAGAGTCGGAAACGACTGAACGAATTAACAACAGCTAAACCCGACCACACTTCGCTGTGGCTCAGTCTGATATGAAATGAATGAGATAGTAAATAAAAGTATTGTTGTGAACATCATTCAATTCGATACCCTGCCTTGAGTTGCTGTGTCTATGTGCACCGCCTGAGCTCTGCCAGTGCAGCATTTTTCCGAATGAAGCAGAGTTTGAGGACTGGACATCCATTGGGATACCAAGGTGCTTGTTTATAAAGTTATTGTCCTCCCAACCCTGCGAAATGCCTACGAAACGTGGACTGTCTACAGACATCACATGCAACTTCTAGAATGATTCCATCAGTGCTGCCTCTGCAAATCTCTTGGGAAGACAAGCGGACAAATGTCAGAGTGCCTGAAGAAGCAAAGACCACCAGCATTGAAACAATGGTCCTCCACCCGACCACCGTCTTCCAAAGCAGTTGCTCTACTCCGAACTCAAGAACGGAAAACGGAATGTTGGAGGACAGGAAAAGAGATTTAAAGACGGGCTCAAAGCCAACCTTAAAAACTCTGGCATAGACACTGAGAACTGGGAAGCCCTTGAGCACTCCAGTTGGAGGTCAGCTGTGACCAGCAGTGCTGCAGAATTTGAAGAGGCACAAATGGAGGGTGAAAGAGAGAAACGTGCCAAGAGGAAGGTGCGTCAAGCCAATCCCGACTGGGACCACCTTCCACCTGGAAACCGATGCCCTCACTGTGGGAGAAGATGCAGATCAAGAATAGGGCTCCATAGTCACCTACGGATCCACCGCCAGGATACTACACTTGGAGGACCATCATCCTCGGACTACGAGGGATCGCATAAGTAAAGTACTATGTGGAATGAAAAGAAAGGAAAGAATAAGAGGGTTTTTAAAACATAAATCATTTTTAATGGTAAAGCTAATGGATTGACTACATTTTTGGTTTGTCCGTTTTCTGAAACATAAACATCAGACGGTTTACCAACTCTAGAGCATGCGGCATATAAGTGCCCCTGAGAGAAGCAATTGTTTCCTAAATTCAAACCACACACTTGCAAAGATTGCCGCTGCGCTTTATTGATAGTCATGGTGAACACAAGACATATTGGAAATTGAAGTTGTTAGTACTTGAACGCCATGTCAGTTGGTATGAGTGGTATGCCAATGGCAACCAATCACAGCTTAGCATCCATATCTTATACTGCTGAGGTGAAATGACAGCTGCTCTGTGATTGGTTGGTTTTTTTATACTAGTGCTGAGGTAAAAGGAAAGCTGCACTGTGATAGGTTATTTCTTTTACTGCAGAGGTAAAAGGAAAGCTGCACAGCAATTAGTTGCTTGAGCTCATAAAACCATTAAAACATGCTACCTAATCCTGCTTTACAAGCTTATAACATACATGAAAGTAAAAATTATATAGTGAAGTGACCCACAGTGTTGTAGTGTATTTTGTGTTAGCTATACTGTCAAATTACTGCACCACTTGAACTGCCATTGCTGAATGCTATGGCATCCTGAGAGTTGTGCTTTTACAAGGCCCAGCTTTCTCTGCTAAAATAGTGCTGATGCTTTTCCAGACTACAAATCCCAGGAATCCATAACACTGAACCATGGCAGTGAAACTGGTGTCAAACACTGGGAGACCAGGGTTCAAAACCCACTCATCCATACCAACTTCCTGTGTGATCTTGGACAAGTCACACTCTTTCAGCCTCAGAAAGGCAATGGCAACACCCCCACTCAACAAATCTTGCCAAGAAAACCCTGTGATAAGGTCGCAATTGGTCAGAACAAAACGAAAACACCCACAATAAACAGTTAAACAAACTCAGGAGGCAATCTGACATATGTAATTTAGATAAATTCCTGGAGAGAATTAATCAAGAACACTGCCAAGTTTTAATCATTCTTTTTTCCTCACTCTTAAAAATAAGCTAGAACAGCATCTGTCTACCCTGCCAGCAATTCATTGGGAGTTGAAAATGAAAACTTAATGTAAGGCACTCAGTTCCCTTTCTTATCTGGAACCATTCCTAATACAGTGGCAGAGTCTTTCTGCTTGGCTGGGCAGCTGCATCTAGCTGCATTTTGAGTTTTAGGCATTATTGTCAGTACTGGGTGAGTCCACGAAGAGATGGACAGTAGCATTTAACTTGGAGCCTGGTAAATATTTTTGTTACACTTCATAGTGCTTCTTCCAATGCTCTCTCACATCTGGATATGCCAAGCACCTAAGAAACAGACGTCCGCTTTGCCTGTCCATGAGAAGGCTACTGCCGCTAGTAAAGATATAGTTGGAGGATCGGCAAAGGAAAAATTACAGAAAGTCACCAATGGCAACACAAACCTTTCGGGATTAGAGGTGCTGTCAAATCCTTCTTGTTTTGCTTCCTTGTTTGCGATGACTGTCTCTTGGGAAACTGATGCCGAGAAGCATCCTGGGAGACTGAGCTAATTCATTATGACATCACAATTCAATGCCACTGTCTATTCCAGGCATGGGCAAACTTGGGCCCTCCAGGTGTTTTGGACTCCAACTCCCACAATTCCTAACAGCCTCAGGCCCTTTATTTTTCCCCCCTCCGCTGCTTAAGTGGAAAAGGAGAGGAAAAGGAAGGGACCTGCGGCTGTTAGGAACTGTGGGAGTTGAATTCCAAAACACCTGGAGGGTGCAGTTTGCCCAAGCCTAGTCTGTTCAATACGTTCTGTTGGACCAGCTCTTTTATCAGCTGAGATTTTAAAAGGTATTGCTCTGTTGTCTCTGTTTCAGAAAACATCTTCCTCTGAAACTCTAGTTCATAGATACTATATAATACTAGAGAAAAAAATCTGCTTAAAATCCAGTTTCTGCCTCCTGCAGAATTCTGGAGTTTGTAGTTTAGTGAGGCTGTTAAAGGCTCTGCCCTAAACTACAAACTCCAGAATTCTGCAGGAGGCAGAAACCAGATTTTAAGTGGGTTTTTTCTCTCTAGTGTGATGAAGTGTATGTATGGTATAGGTAAGAGGAACACAGCTTCTACCAGTTGGAAGATCCTTTGATTTTCTGTTGGGTCCCTCTCCTCCTTATTTCCACCAAGCATAGGCAATTGTGAAGGGTGATGGGAATCAGAGTCCAGCAACATTTTAAGGTTCATGCTTACAGTGGAAATGGAGTGAAGGGTCAAAAACAAATGTGGGCATGAGGAACAGCCAGCACTCTCCTCTGACTTCCTTCTACAGCAATAGGACCCCACCCCACCTTTTCATTGCGGTTTTGGTAATTATAATTATTCTCATTGCAGTTCTACACATAGTTAAAGGGAAAGTAAAGGTAAAGGATTCCCCTTGACATTAAGTCTTGTTGAGACTCAGCATTCTGGCACCATACCTACTACTAGTAGTAGGAGAAGAAGAAGAAGTGATGCTGAAGTCTAGTTGTGTTCGACATTTTAAGCTAAAGAGCCAGCGTTGTCCATAGATGCCTCCAAGGTCATGTGGCCGACATGACTGCATGGAGCACCATTACCTTACCATTGAAGCGATGCCTATTGATGTACTCACATTTGCATGTTTTTGAACTGCTAGGTTCGCAGAAGCTGGGGCTAACAGCAAAAGCTCACCCCACTCCCTGGATTTGAACTGCCAACCTTTCAGTCAGCAAGTTCAGCAGCTCAGCGGTTTAACCCCGCTGTGCCACCTGATTGTTTAAATTAAAGTTATTCTAACAGGTTTCAAGAGATTTAAATTATGCACAGGATTTCAACCTTCATTTTCCTTCCTAAAGTTAAAACCAGGTCCACAATAGTAGCTCCAGCTTGAACTATTAGCATAGATCACTGTAATTTCAAAGAGTCTCCTGCTTGTCTCCACTTCATGAGCAGAAACTCCCACCTATTTTTCCTTTAATGGCACAAATATTGCTGGATTTCAGGGGTTCTTAAATATTGCTAAAAGCTTTTAAAAAAGTCTAAAACAAGGGACGAAAAATCAACAGCATAGAACCTTCAGAACTATGAAATACTATGTTTTCAGACCAAATGTTCAGCTGGCTTCCTAAAAAAGGATATATAAGGCCAATATGGTTTAGAATATTTGGTCCATTTTATATACAGATATTTTTTGTGATAGATGCTCTCTTTCCTTACCAGTTGCATGGCAATGTAGTGATGTTTGTCATTCTTTCCTCAATATAGAGATGAAGCAGAGATGGGAAAGCTGTCCCTGCTGTTTTCTGCTCTCATTTGCCATCAAGTCACCTGTAATCCCATGAAATTCAGAGTTTTCTTAGGCAAGAAATACTCAGAGGGGGTTAACCATTGCCTCTCTCTAAAATAGCATACCACAGTTTAATTCATATACAACTGTTAGTTTAAAATGGCAAATTTTTATTCTTTATGATTACATTAAGAAGCACACCTCTAGAACAATGGCAAATGTTAATCTGAACTCCAGCTAAGGCTAAGGGTCCCATTGGCAAGCAGCTGACACTGAAACCGGAGAGCTCCGTAACCCGCAGAGAGGGCTCTGTTGTAATCCTATCAGGGAAAC